GTTATTTTACAACGATTTGTTTTGTTTTTTAGCAAAGTGTATACATTCATTCGAAAGAGCTCTTTCTCGTCTACAAAACGTTTTTTTTTTTTTTTTTTTGATAATTTAATTGTTCGTCTTTTTTTGAGGAAAAAATCAGCATTTTTGACATCTGCTTTTCTTTGCTTTTCATTGAGGTCAAAAAGCAGCCGAAGCCGCTCGGGACATATGCAGTGTGTACAGGGAAGGTATCTTAGGTGTGTCTACTGCACAAAAATGATTCGCAAAGTTTAAAAATGGCAACTTTGACCTTGAAGACACGCCTCGAAGCGGACAACCTGCAGAATTCGACAAAGAGCATCTAAAGGCACTATTGAAGGAAGATGGTCGCCAAACAACTCGTGAATTGGCTGAAAAAATGAACATCAGTGCAATGACAATCTCTCGCCACCTTCAATCAATTGGTTTTACTCAAAAACTCGGAGCATGGGTACCTCACGAGCTCAACAAAGAAAACAAAGAAAAACGCCTTCAAATTGCTGCTCAACATCTCGCCCGCCACCGAGCAACACATGGACACAAACAGCGCTTTTTGTATTGAATCATCACGGGAGATGAGAAATGGGGTCTGTACGTCAATGTGAAGCAAAGAAAGGAGTGGGTGGCCCCAGGAGAGACGCCGAAGCCGAGAGTCAAGCAAGATCTTCACCCAAAAAAGGCCATGATGCGTTTGGTGGGACTGGGAAGGCATGGTGCACTGGGAAATGCTCGAACGAAACGCCACTGTCAACAAGGAGGTCTACATTACCCAGCTGAACCGTGTAAATGAGGCTATTTGGCTGAAAAAATCCGATAGACAAGGTCAAGTCATCTTGCTCCATGACAATGCCAGGCCCCATATTGCCCAAGTCGTCAAAACAGCACTCCAAGAGCTTGAATCTTCAGCATCCACCGTACTCTCCGGATTTTGCACCTACCGACTATCACCTTTTCCGCTCTCTATCAAACCATATGAGGGGTGTTACCTTTGATGGCGAAGAGGATCTTAAAAAACTGGCTCAACAACTTCTTCGACACCAGACCGACCGATTTTTGGCAAAACAGCATCAACAAATTGGTTGAGAGATGGGAGGAGGTCATAAACAGTAACGGAGAATACATCATTGATTAATTTATTATTACAATTATTGTTTTTTGTTCAAATAAATCTTTATAAAAAAACTCTACAAACTTATGTTACAACCCAATACTTGGCATACCAAGACAGACATTGAGACGTTATATAAATAAAGTTTAAAAAGGGTGCTGATTTAAACAAAGTTCTTGGTCAACCAAGAACACTAAGCAAAGTTCAAGAAATTGAATTAGTTAGCATTATTATTGAAATGGAAAAAATATTATGTGGGTTAACAAAGATAGACATAAAGCGACTAGCATATTATTTTTGCGAAGTTAATTGCATCCCACATAAGTCAAACAAAAAAAGTCAATGTGCAGGAGAAGATTGGATACGTTCATTTTTAAACTCAAACTCAAACTTATCTTTAAGAAAACCAGAACCAACTTTGATGGCACATGCATCAAGAAAAAAAAGGAAAAAGTTGATTGTTTTTTTGATGCCTTAGAGTCAATTATATTTAATCAGTATGGTAAAATTGTAATCCCACCAAGTCGCATCTATAATGCTGATGAAAGTGGCTTTTCAGTTTGTCATACTCCTGGCAAAATTGTTGCTCTGAAAGGAAAGAAATCAGTAGGAGCAATAACAAGTTTAGAAAATAGCAAAACCATTACAGTGTTATGCTGTGTGAGTGCTGTTGGACCATATGTGCCTCCTATGATTTTTTTTTCCTCGTGTACGCATGAAACCATCTTTTATGGATCAAGCACCCCAAGGAGCACATGGAGTTGCAACAAAGAATGGTTGGATAAATGAAGAACTGTTTGATATCTGGTTTGACCACTTCTTACAATTTAAACCAACCGTCAAACTGCAATACGCCAACTTTACTTATATTAGACGGTCATAGTTGTCATGTAAAAAACATAAAAGTGATATTAAAAGCTCACAGAAACAATGTTATTATATTAAGCTTTTCAAGTCATTATACCCATAAAATGCAGTTACTAGATATTTCTTTTTTTAAATCCTTAAGCTCACGATACAATTCAATTGTGCAGTCATGGCATCACCAACACCCTGGTAGACCAGTAACAGAGGCCAAATTCGGAAATCTGTTCAACACTGCTTATAGTGAGGCTGCTTCAGCGAGTAAAACTGAGAGCGGATTTCGGAAATCAGGAGTTCATCCTTTCAATCGTTTCATTTTCACAGATGAAGATTTTATAGCAGCTGCAGTGACAAATCAAGAACAGAACACTTAACTGCCTAACATCTGTATCAAAATCAAGAAAACAGCTTGATGAGTCTGAGTTTGTAACTATAAATGACACCAACCAAATTCTATTAACTTATGATGAGCACTTGTAAATTTTTATTGATATGGTTGAATTGAAAAAAAAAAAAAAAAAAAAAAAACACGACCCTTACTTATTATTATTATTACACACTGGCTCCATCAGCGAATTTTTTTTTATAGCAATATCAAAATTCATAATTTTTTTTTACTGAAACATCTAAAAATATATATATATATATTGCAAACAAAATGTCTTAAAAAACAACCTTTTTAGTTTTTAGTTGAAAATTGTTGTTTTTTGTATATAAAACTTAAGCAATTATTTTTTCATTATTATTTCTAAAATCTCTATGAAATTCTGGTTCTTTTGAGACCCAGGTTGATATGCATTTAAAGAAAAAAAAAATCACTCATATATAGGAATCAGTGTGGGTTCATGTGGGAACCAGTGTGGGTTCATGGGAACCAGTGTGGGTTCATCAATCATGGTGGGTGACCTTTTTCAAAAATTAAATAAAACCAATGACTTTTCAGTTACTTTCAAACCTAAGTTCATCTGTTTTTTTATATTGGAAACTGGGGTAAACCAAAAGTCACATCCTTAATATATATATATATATATATATATATATATATATATATATATATATATATATATATATATATATATATATATATATATATATATATATATATATATATATATACATATATATATATACATATATATATATATATATATATATATATATATATATATATATATATATATATATATATATATATATATATATATATATATATATATATATATATATATATATATATATATATATATATATATATATACTAGGTTGGTTGAAAAGTTCGCGGAGCGGAAATGAAAAAACAATTTTATGATTCAAAAAATGACTTTATTCTTCAGTATATTCTCCCTTAAGAGCAATACACTTTTTCCAACGATTCTCCAATTCATGTATCCCATCTCTGAAGTGCGATTCCGGAAGGCCTTCAAAATACCCATTTAAGGCTGCAATGACTTCTTCATGTGATGAGAAACGCTTTCCACGTAGAAATTTTTTGAGATGTGGAAAGAGGTGGAAGTCGGACGGAGCCAGATCTGGTGAATAGGGTGGATGTTCCAAGCGTTCGTACTTTAATTCGACCAATTTCGCCTTTGCAACATCGCTGATATGAGCAGGTGCGTTGTCCTGGTGATAAATGATTTTTTTATGCAGCAAACCAGGTCTTTTCTCACGAATTTTTTTATCCAACTGGTCCAAAAGATTTTTATAATATTCACTTGTTATCGTTTTACCGGTTTGAAGGTAATCTATTAATAAAATTCCTTTCGCATCCCAAAAAACTGATGCCATAACCTTCTTTGACGATTTTGACGCCTTCACTTGCTTCGGAGCTGAACAACCGGGTTCTGTCCACTCTGCAGTTTGTTGTCGCAGCTTCGGATCATAGTGGTAAACCCAAGTCTCATCCATAGTTACGAATCGACGCACAAAATCTGTTTTATTCTTTTGAAAACGGGCCAAATGTTCTTGAGAAAGTTTTACTCGAGTGCGTTTCTGATCCAGAGTTAGCGAATGCGGCACCCATCTTGCCAACAGCTTTCTTAGACGTAATTCATCGTGCAAGATGTGTAATACCCGTTCATCTGAGATGCCCACAGCCTCAGCAATTTCACGTTTGGTCAATCGTCTATCATCCATAACCATGTCATGCACAGCATTAATCGTTTCTTCAGTAGTAGCACTTTTTGGACGTCCAGAGCGAGGGTCATCTTCAAGGCTTGAACGCCCACGTTGAAACTCCGCAGCCCATTTGCATACTGTTGTTTTTGAAGGAGCATCATCACCCAACACATTTACCATTTCATTATGAATTTCCATGGGCTTTAAACCTTTTTTCACAAAGAATTTTATTACAGCACGATGTTCAATATTTTCCATTTTAAAAAATACTATGACACGTCTAATTTCAATAGCTTGTAAACAAAGACTGAAATGACATATCGACTTGAAATTTTTTATGCGTTCATACGAAGAATGAATACGTTTAATACAGTTATAAATTTGTTTCTACTACTGCAACATAGGTGCCGCTCCGCGAACTTTTCAACCAACCTAGTATATATATATATTGGGTTGTAACATAAGTATGTAGAGTTTTGCGTTAGAGTTATTCCGAGTTTGATCCCCACCACGTCCCTGGTAGTACCGCGCTCAACTCGTTTCTCCGCGCAGCGGCCTTGTTCGTCAAGGTTCGTGTTTCGGAGTTATAGAGTTGAGAGAGGGTTATAGCCACAAATAAGTAGCCTCCTCGTCTGTAGTGGCCTTCTCGGCCTTGAGGAGGTGAATTAAAATAAATATATAATATATATATATATATATATATATATATATATATATATATATATATATATATATATATATATATATGCATTTATATATATGCATAATATGCATTCAATTAGTAATATTGTTAGTAAACTTGAATTTGCTTAAATATTATTATGATCAATTGTTAGACAAAACTACAAACAATAAATTAAAAAAAAAAAAACTTATTATCATTAACGGTATATACCTCAATATCTAGTGGGTTGTAAGCACTAAAATCAATAACAACATCATAACTGTCAATATTAGCAATCATTGCACATTCTTCACGGAATCCATCACCTCTTGTGCATTCAAAGTGTTTAACAAATGGTTTAACAGTGCTCTCAGTATCCCAATACCAGTTTCCACGATTAACTATAGTAATATTATATTGACCAGGATATTTTAATAAAGAATGTACAGTAGCACTTCCTAGCATGCCATTTCCTCCAAGTATGAGAATATTGGAAGTTAAAGAAAACTCAAATGAAAAACACATTAAAACAAAAAAAACTATTTTTTTTTTCATATTTTAGCTAAAACAAAAGAAATTAGGAGAACTTCGTTAAAATTAATGTATTATTATTATTTTTCATCTTCAAATTTAATAAATTTAATAAAATCTGACAAGTAATGGAGATTCAAGTATTTAAGGTTGTAAGTGACATAAAGTCACTGACAACCTCATGGCATTATAGGCAGAGGCTTTATAACAAATTTATAGCCTACAAGTAAAAAAATTTTATTAGCCAATATTAAAGAAAAAGGTAACAAAATACAAAAATGAGGCAAATAAAAAATAACACCATGGACTCATTTATCAAGGCTTAAACAAACTTAAATTCTGTGGTCTAATTTAAGCTGATTTTAAACTTGGTGGGAATGATAATATATAAAACAGGTTTGTTGTGAATCAGTTATACAAGACTTACAAAAAAAAACAAAAAATGTAGAAAAACAAAATCCAATCTTTTTCCTATTAATATTTACAAAGTGAATTTATTTGCGTGCATGTTCATAATTTTTTACAAACCAATCGCATGTTTCTTGAACGGCTGAAAAAAAAAAAAATACTAAAGTATAAATTAAAATATTATTAATTGCAATATATATAATATAAATACATTTATATTATAATTTATGATATATTTAAAATAAGTTTAATTTATAGTTTTAAAACTTATTTTTAACATATAATAACATAAAACATTTATGTGTGAAAAATAATTTAGTTGACTACCTTGTCTCATTGGAGTAAATTTAAATTCAGGCCATAATTTCCTTAATTTTGCATTACTGGCAGTTTTTTTAAACTGTCCATCAGCTCGTGTTGTGTCATACTGAAAAAAAAAAAAAATCATAATGGCAAATAAAATTAATCAACTATAACTATAACAATAACTACAATGCACAACTTTAAGTATTTTAGTATATAGTACAACTATAAACAACACTTTTAATCAGTTATTTATAAACAACACTTTTAATTAGTTATTTATGTATTTATATTTATTTATTCATTTTTAGTGATATATGAGATTGCCTCAGCTTTTGTTGAGGTCAGGAAACATTACAATAAAACACAACTTTTTTCCACTAGTGTTATGTTATTCAAATTTTGATAATAAGAATATGATAATAAAAATAGGACAAGATCCAATAATAAAAAACATCAAAAATGTCTATACTATAAGTAATAGTATAGGGTAACAAACAATTAGCACATAACAAAGGTGACATAACAAATAAGTATTATGACATAACAAAGATAACAAAATGAAGTTCATTGAGGCTTTGCAAGCTATTCATGTATTACCTAAATATATTATTAATGTGTTGATTATCTCCAACTTCCTCCTAAAGAATGGGCTCCAAATAGCTTGACCTCAAGCAACTACAGTATCTAGGTGACTACAGCATCTGGGTGATTTTGAAAAATAAGAACTGGGCTGTGCCACACTAGAGTTTTTAGGTCCTGCAAGCAGATTTATGTAAGACCTGACACAAAATATACAAATAACAAATAATATATCTGGCACTATCAGGCTGGTCAACAACATTTTACCTTAAATTAACTTGTTAATTCAAGTTAATTAATTCAAGTTAAAAAGGTAAATTTAGTATAATAAAATTTACCTTTTTAAGTTGAATTAATTGAATTATTAAATAAATTTAAAAAATGTCTCTTTACTTATTACATTACTTATTAGACAGTGGAGACAAGAGCATGGTCAGTATGACTAAGCAGAGCCGTAACCACAATTTACATATTAGGGGGGCCCGTATTACATATATGACTTTTTTTTTTTTTTTTTTTCAAGGTACCCATTTTAGAGGCCCAGAGATAAGGAGAGGCACAAACATAGCAGGGGAAAAGCCCTAAAAAATATGTTTTTCCCTAATAATTATAGTTGAATAATTTTTTTAGGGGGGGCCTAGGCTCCTCCCCCCCCCCCAGTGGTTACAGCTCTGCTAAGAATAACTTGCCAGCAGGACTATGTTGTAGAAGTGGGTTTAATTTTAGAGCTTTCAAACAGAAAATCCCAACAATTATATAAAATCTTACAAAATTATCACTTCATTATTCACTGTGGTTGGAAGAGATTCACACATAAAGATATGGATGATTTACGTTTTTCTGTCAGTTTTTTTATCAATAGTTACTAATTTGGAGGATTTGAAGATTATTTGAAGAAAAAAGGTTGCTGGGTTTAACAACTGTGGTAGACTCATAAAAATGTTTTTGAGGCCTGACTTTTTTTCAAAAAACTATTTTTTAAATAGTGCTAAAAATTGTAAACTAAAATATGTGCTATGTCAATTAGTTTACTTAACTTAAAGAACTTTACTTAACTTAAGAACTTAAACTTCATGTAAATATTCCCCGAAATGTAAACCGTGTAAATATTTCCTGAAATAAATTTGAAAGGTAAATAATAATAACAACTATTATTGAAATACAGATTTGATTTTACAATAAAAGTTTAAAAAAAAGTTTTGATTTTAACTATTCTGTTATAGTCCATTGGCTCAACTAAAAATTAAGAGGTTTAACATTCGAGTCCCCCTCTGACCTCTAAAAATACAGCGCTCAACTCCACTTAACTTTTAAAGTACACCCCATAAACTCCCTATAGCATAAATAAGACATACTACAATTGTTTTTTAAAAAATTACCACAATTTCTCCTGAAATGAAATTAAAAACAAAAAAAATCATTTAAAAATATTTCAGATAAGAAATGTTTCAAGCAAATATTTTACTAAAAAGATAGATAATATAAAATCATTTTAAAATATTTTATATAAGTGTTTTAAACAAAGATTTTACTAAAAACTTTAATAACATAGTGCAATATAATGAAATTATATACATTAAAAATTTTATGATTAAAGTAACTAAGTCATTGACAACAGGTAGGACATATTATTAGATTTAAAAATTCAAATAGATTGAGAAATTCATACTTCAATTGGATTTTTAAAATTCATAGCTTCAACAATCATTTCAGCAGCTTCTTTAATTGAAACTTCGTCATCTTCATCAACTGTAAAATAAACTAATAAATTATATAAAAATATAAAACATTTTGTACTTTTTTTTTTTTGCTTTATTTTTTTTATATTCTTTATTTATTTTTATATATTTTTATTTAATTTATTACTTTTTATAAATGAATAGTAAAATTTATAGCAAATAATATTTTCAGTATTTATATGAAAAGAAACTTTTAAAATGCCAAGTTATTGTCTGAATAAAAACATGTAAAATGGATTTAGAAGAAATAAGCAGGTCTTAATTGTTTTAACTCTATTTTAACTGTTTAAACTAGCACAGTTTATGATGTCTTCTCGGTGTAGTTAAGGCAATTTTAAAATATTATAGTCTGTATGATATTTTGTTGACTATGACATATTGTATTTTGACAACTATATATAGTTAATATATATTAGATTTGATTAGAACCAGGATCTATAGTAGCTTAAGGCACTTTTTCTAAAGATTTTAACTAAGTTCATGTTAACGCCAATGAGCGAAATTGATCTAAAGACATCAAAATGATGTTCTTTAGATTCAATATAAGGGGTATTGAAAAGGTTTTGAAAATTATATGAAAAAAGGAAAAGTTTTTTTTAAATATTCAAAAAAACATAAAGCAAAAAAAATTATAACATCTAAAGTTTTTGTTTGGACATAATAGGCTGATAAAATCATGCTAATTTCTAATAAAAGAATTCAAATAATTTGTAAATCACCTTAACTACACCGAGTTGAATCTTTGTACTCTTACCTACAAAATTACTTGAGGTCTTTTAAAATTTTTTAAATAAAGCAATTTATTTTTCATCATTTCAAATAAATGTTAAATAAAAAAACCTCTTTAACAAAAACAAGCTTTTTTACAACAACAAAAATTGTATATTTTAAATATTTAAACAATTATTTGTTAATATTAAGACAAAATGTCAAAACATTTAGCATAAAAAGATTTTTATGTTAAATGTATCCACAGAGTACTTAATCGCTTTCAGATAAAGTTAACAGTTGATTTTACTAATTTAAAAAAAAAAAAAAGATATGTAAAAAATTAAAATTAAAAAGTTGAAGGACAGAATTTTATTTTTAAAGATTCATTTTTTAAAGATCCTTTTTTTTTAATAATTATTAATGTGGTTAAAATTTCCAACAATTTTACCTTACCTTAGTCTTCATCAAACTTTTTGAAATAAAAACTCCAGTAAACAGTAAAAGTTTTTGAAAGTTATAAAAAAATGAAATTTAAAAATAAAATTTATAATAAAATTGACTAAACAAAGTAAACAAAATTTGCCAACAATATTCACTTATCTAATTAAATTCATAAATTCAAATAGAATTTAAAAAAATAAATAAATAATAAAGAAAAATAATAAATAACACCTTAAATTCAAATCTAACTTTAAAATTTGCACCTGAAAGAATAATAGGCGAGCAGTCATCATATTCTCGAAGAACTAGTAAAAATAATCTTGCCAAATCCTAAACAACAAAAAAAATGTAAAAGAAAAATTAATAAATTTATTTAGGTTTTATGCTACGAATTCTTATTTTGTGGTGTAATATATTATAATATATGTAGTGCTTCCAATACCGGTAGTACCAATACCGGAATATACCAGACTTTTTTAAGTACTGAAATACCAGTATTGGTTTGGCTCAATACTGATATTAAAAATATATGTAGAGGGCTTGTAATATAGCAGATGCAACAGCTCTCTTTACATGAAACATGAAAGTAAATGAAATATTTAAAACTACCAGTCGCAATAAACAACGCTTGTTCATCTTGTAATGAGAGTATAAAATCACACTCGATAAAGAGTTTGGGATGAAGAAAATAATAAGTTGTTCAATTGATTTTTTATAATTAAAAATTATTGTTAAAAATATTTAGTTAAAATCATAAAACTTGTTTTATTTAAAAGTAAAATTTTTTCTTCCTTCTATTAACTAAGCACTGATTTAAAGTATTACCATTATGTGACTTGCTTTAATGTAGAACCATAGTCATAAGAAATAGATTTAATATATATACATAATATATAGACATAATAAATCTATTTCTTATGACATTTTAGTCAAACAAGTACACAAATGTTTGTGTGCTTGTTAGACTAAAACTGTTAGTGTGCATCATTACTTTTTTTCCTTAAACTAAAAACTGACAGTCTAAACAAATATTTGTGCGCTTGCCAGATAGTAAACGCAAATACTTATATTTTTAAATATTTTTTCACTGATTTTTTTTTATTTTCTATTAATTATTTTTTAATTATTATTAATTATTTAATTTATTATAATTATTAAATATTTTATTTTCTATTAATTTCCAATTAACACAACCAACCAACTTTTCTGTGGCTAGTTATTTCATTTAAAAAGATTAGAGTAATAAAGTTTAACAAATTCTAAAAAAAAAAATTTTCTAGATTAACCTGAATTTATTCTATTTGTAAATATTAGGTATATTTACATATTTGTCATTTAAACTGCTGTAACTATTATTTGCAAAAATATGCAAAAATAAAAGCAAATTTAATACATAAAGTACAGTCTAACACTTTAAAACAAGGTCTGTTATATTATTATGGAAATCATTAAAAGAAACTTATTTGTAACAATTTTACAAAAAAAAAAAAAAATGAATTCAAAATTAAAATAAAATTTTACCAATGAGTAGATAAATTGTCTTCTTGGACTTCCTGTTCCCCATATTGTCAATGGTTCACCTTTTTCTGAAAAATTCAACAAAGTAGAAAGATAAAAAGTTATTTTTCTAAATTTTAATATCAAACCTAATACTAAAATTAGAGAAGCAAATGAATTCTAAACCAATCTATAATAATGTAATAAGTTAATAATGCTAAATTGCATTAGTGGTTTAGTGATGTCTTCAAACAGCAATTGTTGATAAAATTCAAAACCTTTAGTAGAATTTTACTTAAGCAAAATACTTTTGATGTCACCATCAAAAGACATAATTTGGTCTATCAGGTATAAAGTAAATATATGTAATAATATAAACTAATATTATAAATATATAATACATAAATAATTATTAGTTATATAAATATATAATAATAACACATATATAATAGTTATAAATAACAAAATAAAAAATTTAAACTAATATTTTGTATATAATATTTTTTTTAAAAAGTTCAAATATCAGAAATGAATAAACTTATATTTGAATAGAAAACCATAAAATAAAAAGGAGATCAAGTCAATTGAATTTTACGGCTGATTTGCTAACAGTAATAACCGATAGATTTTATTGTGCATTAGATAAAGGTGGAGAGGTTAAGACCATCGCTCTCAACATTTCTAAAGCGTTTGATAAAGTTTAGCATGCTGGTCTTCTCCATAAGCTTTCTTCTTACGGTGTATCAGGAAACATCTTTAAGATTATTGAATCCTTCCTTTTCAATCATAGTATAAAAATTGTCCTTGATGGACAGCACTCTTCTACTTATTCTGTAACCTCAGGGGTTTCTCAAGGTTCAATCCTTGACCCTATACTCTTTTTAAATTACATTAACGATCTTCCAGATATTCTCACATGTAAGGTGGCATTGTTTGCTGATGATACTATCTTTTATTTTTTGTCATGATAAGAAGCCAACTCTCTCTGATTGCTTGGAGGAGGGCATTTGAACTTGAAAAGGATCTCACTTCTGCTACAGCATGGGGGTTGAACTTTAATTCAGATAAAACTAAATTTTTTTTCAGACAATCGTTATCACAATAATTTAGACCTTCCTATACTTATGAACTGTAATGTACTCAATGAGTCATCTACCCTTGATCTTCTAAGATTAACTCTTACTTCCAATCTTTCTTTGAAACCATATATCAAATCCATTACAAAATTAGCATCTGCTAAAGTTGCATCTCTTTATTGAGCTCGACACTTTCTTACTCTGGATTCTATTCTCTATCTCTATAAATTTCAAATGCGGCCTTGTATGGAATACTGTTGCTATATCTGGGGCAGATCTTCTAATGATGCCCTTTCTCTTTTAGACAAGGTGCAAAAAAAACATCATATTGTTGTTATACATCATCTGCATCATTAGTGGAAAGACATTTTAATACAATCTATCTCTCAGCTAGGCGCATAAATATTGGGCTAGATACTTCCTTATTTTGAACCATTTCATCTGGAGACAAAGACGAAACATTCCACACTAAAAAAATACTTTAATGGGCATCTTTTTTATAATTTTTGCCATAACATTATGATAATCTGCTTACATTCTTTCTTAAATTCTAATTTCTCTTCTGATTTACAATGAAGAGAACTTAGCATCTGTTTCAGTGCTGTTCTTTTTTGGTTTACTTATTTTTAGTTATTTTACCTCAATTATTGTTAAATTAAAAACTGTTTAATCTTCTTTTAAAATGTTTGATTTCAAAATCATTTTCATCAAATTATGTATTATATATGCAAAATTTGATGAAAATGATATATGAACTAATTTTTTTTTCATGAATATAAGTGTACAAGATTTTATCCAATTCTGTTAAATATAAAAATGAATATTAAATTAATTTACCTTTAGCTTTATATATCTTATGAATGAGTCCAGGTAAAACATGGCCATCTTCTATATTATAATTATCATTAGGTCCAAAAACATTGCAAGGGATCACACTTGTATAACTGCATCCTAGTTGTTCTTTATAACCTCTATAGTATTAAAAAAAAAAGCCTGCAAATTTATCATACTATAAAGTCAAATCAATGGATTTAACATAAAATTTAATTTATGTCTAAAATTAGCAGAAAGGCAGGATCAGGAAGCAAGTGAAAAACTACAAAATAAAAAAGATTGTTTGATTGTCAGGAAAATAGTGAAAAATAGCTAGATACCAATGAACAAGGCAAAGTAAATTTCAAGTTTATGTAACAATACAATAATTGTAAGAATAAAAGAATTTAATAAGTCTACTTCAAGGTAGAAAACAAAAAAATTACCATGAACAAATAATTGTTTTGTTAAATTTATATAGTAATGAATTGTTTTGGTGAATTTTATACTACAAACAAGAAAAACATTGTTAAAAGATTAAATTTTTTTAAAGATCATTTGAACTAGATCAATAAAAACATGCCAAATTCACAGATTCAAAGTCACCCTATTAGTAAGAATATGAAGGAAAGAAAGTAAAAGTGACAGTGAAATATGATCAAACTATTTGAATTTTAGTGGTGCACTTATTATTACAGCGATTCAATAAAACCAATTACTATTTTTCTGATATAAAATATTAATTTTCAACATGACAATAACTACGGTATACAGCAAGAAAAAAAATAAAAAATTCATGTAAATACATAAAACTTTAAAAGGCTGATATAACAACCAAATTTTAACCCAATTGAAAATCTGTGATCTAAATGCTAACTGAAAGATATAAAGACAAATAATAAAAATGTTAAGCACTTCTTAATGGTTAGAGTTGCATGTCTTAATGATTAATGATTCCTAATTAGAGTTCTTAATAGTTAATAGTTCTTAGAGTTAGACTTCTTAATGGTTAGAGTTAATCAGAAGTAGCTATAATATCATAATGAAAATCTTAAGAAACTGCATTACAACATCAGCTGAGGATATGGCTAGACCATTTAGACCTAAATCTGTAATATATATCAAACTGTAGCAGATTTAGATCTATATTAAAGGGAATAATTCTGTTCCTTTTCATTTTTAAAATATCAACTTTATTTAAGAAAGAATTTTTTCTCTTTTGACAAAAAAGGAAAAAAAAATATATATATATATATATATATATATATATATATATATATATATATATATATATATATATATATATATATATATATATATTGCTTTTTGTGAAGGTATTTGACACAAACCTGTAAAATTATAACAAAAATGTTTGCATATTATGCATTTAGTTTACACACATAAATTATTATTTTATAAATTATAATTATAAATTACTATTTATAGATAGTAAATGACCTGTTAAGAACATCTATCATTCGCTTGGCATATGAATATCCAAAATTGGAATCGTGAGGGGGACCATTATGAACCATTGTTTCATCAATGGGATATGTTGTCTTGTCTGGAAAGATGCAGGTTGATAGACATGAAACACATTTTTTGACCTAAAAGATTAGGATTGCGCAAACCATAAATTCAAAATTTTAAAATTAATAAAAATTTCTTAAAACGTTCTAAAAAACTGAAAAAAGCTTTCCCCATAAAATATGCAACTAAGCTTCATCTATAAAGAGCTCTTTTAATGTCAACTAGTTTATTCTAAAATAAAAGTCAAGCTCAATTTTCTAAATATCTATTTTGTGTATATTATATTTTGTATACATAAAATATATCATATGATATATTTTATGTATATAAATGTATATATTGTTGCTTTATTAGCTTAGTTTACTTTTATTAAGTTGAGTTCTAAGAAACTAGCAGCCACTTACCAAAATTTTTAACTCAGTTTATGGTGCAATTTAAATTTTACTATAAATAAGACTGAAATATTTTAATAATATTTTAATGTTTTAATAATATTTTAATATTTTAATATAAATAATAGTGAATCTTTTAAAATCAAATCTTTAAAAAATCTCAAATATTAAAAACTTTATAAAATAAATTACCAAACATTTAATATTTTTATAATTATTAAGTCCATACATTTTATATGTTTAGTTATTGAGTTGCCTGGTTGTGGCATACAAGAATGCTATAAATTTACTTACCCCAATTAGAAGGTACCTCAATTAAAAACAGAATAAAACTTATATTATACATTTTTTTTTAAACAATATTTGTTTATATAACCAAAATATTATCCTTAGGGACTGCAAAAAACCTATTTTGAAAAAGAGTACATAATTGGTCATGAGACTTGAAATTTGAGATATGAAAAATGAATGATACCAGACCTGTCATCAGATATGAAAAATGAATGATACCAGACCTGTCATCAGATATGAAAAATGAATGATACCAGACCTGTCATCAGATATGAAAAATGAATGATACCAGACCTGTCATCAGATATGAAAAATGAATGATACCAGACCTGTCATCAGATATGAAAAATGAATGATACCAGACCTGTCATCAGATATGAAAAATGAATGATACCAAACCTGTCAATATCAGTCCAACATGATGTGTTTTGCATATTGTAAAATAGTTCACACTTTTACAAAAAAGTAACAAAATACAAAGAACAATAGTTTCATTTAAAAAAAAACTTTTACTGCCTGTCGTCAACTAGTTTTGTCTCTTGCTAGATATTGACTCAACACCTTTTTAAGTATTTGATCACCTGATTTTTCTTTAAATTATTCAAACTGTTGTTATGGTTTCATTGTAAGTATGTGTTGCCATTTATGAAACTGAACCAAAGGTTACATAAACATGTAATTTTGGAAGATTGGGCTTTTTTGCAAAGGGAAAAGACATTGTGTGTGTGTGTGTGTGTGTGTATGTGTGTGTGTGCTGTTCTGCTGCTGGTTTTGTGCAAACTGTTTCTTGCTCAAATTTCCATATTCTTCTTAATTATAATTTCCATATTCTTCTTAACTATAATTTCTATATTCTTCCTAATAACTATAATTTCTATATTCTTCTTAATAACTATAACTTCTATATTCTTCTTAATAATTATAATTTCTATATTCTTCTTATAAACTATAATTTCTATATTCTTCTTAATAACTATAACTTCTATATTCTTCTTAATTATTATAATTTCTGTATTCTTCTTAATAATTATAATTTCTATATTCTTCTTATTAACTATAATTTCTATATTCTTCTTAATAACTATAATTTCTATATTCTTCCTAATAATTATAATTCCTATATTCTTCTTATTAACTATAATTTTTATATTCTTCTTAATAACTATAATTTCTATATTCTTTTTATTAACTATAATTTCTATATTCTTCTTAATAACTATAATTTCTATATTCTTCTTAATAACTATAATTTCTATATTCTTCTTAATAACTATAATTTCTATGTCTTCTTCATAACTATAAAAAAGTAAAGATTATTAAGATTTTCTTTCAAAAATCAAAGCAAGAAAATACTGATCTGAAAGTAACTATTGGTAACGACTGTTGTGTATACTAAAAATGATTTTTTTATCTTAAAAATTAGTTATATTGTTATGAATTTAAAAAGTTGCGTTACTGTCATTTTGTTTAAAAGTTTTATTATGCTTTGCATTGCATATACATGTCTTGCATTGCATATATAGGTTTGTAGATAGATCTATTTAAACACTTTAATCTCATAGCGGTGCCAATACTGATGAATTAACTAATTATTAAAAGTTTGAAAAATATTACTATACAACTTTAAATTGTGTAAACTTTTTCATCAAATCAGTACAAGTGAACAAATACTTGAACCCAAATCAGAGCCAAAGATACATATACATTTTTTAAAAGATACATAAACATTTTTTTATTCATTTTTTACTATGAAAAGAAAACTTTCAAAAAACCTAACTACAATTTTTGAGGAATGCTTTTTATTTCAAGCAGTAAGTAATGCATAAAGTTTAGTTTATTTATTAATTAATAATTATCATAATGGATAATTATTATCATAAAGAATAAAAATATAAAAATGCAATTGGTTGGAAAATCGGTAAATTAATAAAAGAAAGGCTGATGCTGATTTTATTGGTACATCACTAATATACATATACATTCATCATATACATCATATATATATATAACTAAAAGTATACTGAACACCCCATTCCTATACCTCCTACCCCCTCCCATATCTCTCCATTTAATAGTAAGTACCAACATTTGGACACCATAAATGTTAAAGCGTATGAATTAATTAATTTAAAAAAGTTCAAAAAAATAAAGTATATAAATAAAAAAATAAAAGAATAAATTAAATTTCACTAAAATTACACTATAAATCAAAGGTAAAATGTTTGATTGTTTCAGCTTAAATTATTTTTAAAAAACTTTATCAGCATAACTAGTATGAACTATATTTATTTATTTGTACAAGTTACTAAAGAGGTTCCCAATAAAAATTTCAATACCATCTGAGGTCAAAGTTGACTTACTTTGGTTCAAGATTAGTTGTAAATTAAGAACGTTTGCCTTGTCTTTTATATCTCAAATTATATCAAGTTATATCACAACAATGCCATCATTCTTTGCATCATGTAGCATAGTATTTTTTCAATACCAAATTTAAGTATATTAAAACCACAATGTTTTTTTTTTTATTAGATTAGCTTTGTTTATGAGATAAATTCTTATTTTTGCGATATTAGTGTTACGATTATCCGACCCTTATAAGCTGCTACTACTTTTAGAAATATCAACAATTGTACTTGATTATATTATAAAAGATTACTTTATCTAACTATATTATTATTTTGTCTTATTCTACCTTTATAACTATTAGTTAAATCATCAACCACATCTAAGAAAAACTAAACATGAACAATTTTACAATCGAATAATTATATTTAATTTAGGAATTTAATAACTCAACAAAATGTGTAAAAGATTGACGTATAATAAAAGATCTAAATAGTTGATTTGTCAAAAAATGTAAATAATTGATGTGTCAACTATGTAAAAGTTTGATGTATCAAAAAGAAAAATATAATGATTAGTATAATGAACTTTCATATATGAATGCAGACATGCAAGAACACAATAATGTTACAATAAATGATTGAATATTTACTAAAACAAAATTTTACCAATATATTTTGTTATATAATATGTTTCATTGATAGTTATCACTGGTTAAAGTTTAAAAAGATATTTGACATATGAATCATTTTAATTTTTTATATCACAAATGATTTTTTATATCATATGGAATTACCCTAGATATGTTTTATTCTGTTAAATGAATATTTACAATAAAAGTTTCTTCCACTTTATATTTACAATTCAAAATGTTCAACCTAACCATGCAAAAAAGTGATAAAAGATTTTTTAAATCTAATTAGTAACAAACAAATTATAACAAAGATGTAATATGTTTTTATTTTGGTTTCTATTTTTGTTTTAGTTGTTTTATTCTAGTTTAGTTTGCCTTTCAAAATACATACCTAGCCAAAACTTTAAATAAAAAAAATATTTAGACAAAAAATATCTTTGCATAACAAGGTTCATGATTACTTTATGACAGCAGCAAATCAATTTATTGATTCAAATGAAAATTTTATAATTTTATAAAAAACCATTATTATAAAAAAGATTTAGTTAAATATAAAACCTTATAGAGAGAAAAAAAAACATCATCATGATCAACATAGTAAATGGTTTAAATACAGAAATAGAGTATAAATGCTAGTTTTTAAAGATAAGCTCAAGTTAAAAATTTTTAAATAAACATAATGATAATAAAAATAAAGATTGTCAAAATATCAATAAAAAAAGTTCAAGAGAAATCTAGCTTTGAAATCAAAAAGTAAACAAAAACTTGTATTTGCATATATGAATGGTAAAATTAAGATTAAAAACTCTAAAGAAAAAATTAAATTAAAAGTTCTAAAGGATATTAACAACATAATAGCAACAGATAAATTTCAAATGAAAGATATTTTAAACATTTATTTTGGTTCTATTTTCAGTGAAGAGGATTTTAAAAATATGCCAACATGCATAAGCAAAATGAACTATATATCATATATAAATTAAAAGAATTAAAACATGTTCAAAACCTTTCTTAATAATTTTCAATCAATTGTGCATAAGAAGCATATCTAGGGTAATTCCATATGTGATATAAAAAGTTAAAAAGTTTCAGTCACCATACATGTGATATAAAAAATCATTTGTGATATAAAAAATTAAAATGATTCATATGTCAAATATCTTTTTAAACTTAAACCAGTGATAACTATCAATGAAACATGAGAAAATATATTGGTGAAATTTTGTTTTATATTTACTGTATATTGCCTTCCCAGTTTACTATTGTGGTCTCTAGTTTTATAGCTGTTATCTAGCATTTCAGGTTTTGTTTAAAAATTTATGATACCATACCCTATCAAATATTTGAATATTTGTATCAGATCACCCCTTCTTCTGTCCTCCAATGATTGTAAACCTAACCTTTTAATCTCTTATCATAACTGTATCCTTTCAAACTTTTAATTCTAGTAGCTCTCTGTTGGAAATTTTGTATCTTATCTTTATCATACTGCCGATAAGTATTCCAGATGGGAGCTGTATATTTTAATAAATAATTTAAGAAGAAACTGACTAATAATTAGTATTTTATCGTGAAAAAAAATAACCTAATTCGAAATATTTAATAACTGTTTTTATTTTAAAATGGTCTATAATTTTTATTTTCAAAGGTTACACTTTCACTAATTCTTGAAGTTGCCTAACACTCATGGGTTCATTGATTATGTATAAAAATATTTTTTGAGGTTGGTTGTGAAGATTTAATGAGTGGTACATATAAGAATACTTTTTTGAGGTTGGTTGTGAAGATTTAATGAGTGGTACATATAAGAATATTTTTTTGAGGTTGGTTGTGAAGATTTAATGAGTGGCACATATAAAAATACTTTTTTGAGGTTGGTTGTGAAGATTTAATGAGTGGCACATATAAAAATATTTTTTTGAGGTTGGTTGTGAAGATTTAATGAGTGGCACATATAAAAATATTTTTTTGAGGTTGGTTGTGAAGATTTAATGAGTGGCACATATAAAAATACTTTTTTGAGGTTGGTTGTGAAGATTTAATGAGTGGCACATATAAAAATATTTTTTTGAGGTTGGTTGTGAAGAATTAATGAGTGGCACATATAAAAATATTTTTTTGAGGTTGGTTGTGAAGATTTAATGAGTGGCACATATAAAAATATTTTTTTGAGGTTGGTTGTGAAGATTTAATGAGTGGCACATATAAAAATATTTTTTTGAGGTTGGTTGTGAAGATTTAATGAGTGGCACATATAAAAATATTTTTTTGAGGATGGTTGTGAAGATTTAATGAGTGGCACATATAAAAATACTTTTTTGAGGTTGGTTGTGAAGATTTAATGAGTGGCACATATAAAAATATTTTTTTGAGGTTGGTTGTGAAGATTTAATGAGTGGCACATATAAAAATACTTTTTTGAGGTTGGTTGTGAAGATTTAATGAGTGGCACATATAAAAATATTTTTTTGAGGTTGGTTGTGAAGATTTAATGAGTGGCACATATAAAAATATTTTTTTGAGGTTGGTTGTGAAGATTTAATGAGTGGCACATATAAAAATACTTTTTTGAGGTTGGTTGTGAAGATTTAATGAGTGGCACATATAAAAATATTTTTTTGAGGTTGGTTGTGAAGAATTAATGAGTGGCACATATAAAAATATTTTTTTGAGGTTGGTTGTGAAGATTTAATGAGTGGCACATATAAAAATATTTTTTTGAGGTTGGTTGTGAAGATTTAATGAGTGGCACATATAAAAATATTTTTTTGAGGTTGGTTGTGAAGATTTAATGAGTGGCACATATAAAAATATTTTTTTGAGGATGGTTGTGAAGATTTAATGAGTGGCACATATAAAAATATTTTTTTGAGGTTGGTTGTGAAGATTTAATGAGTGGCACATATAAAAATATTTTTTTGAGGTTGGTTGTGAAGATTTAATGAGTGGCACATATAAAAATACTTTTTTGAGGTTGGTTGTGAAGATTTAATGAGTGGCACATATAAAAATATTTTTTTGAGGTTGGTTGTGAAGATTTAATGAGTGACACATATAAAAATATTTTTTTGAGGTTGGTTGTGAAGATTTAATGAGTGACACATATAAAAATATTTTTTTGAGGTTGGTTGTGAAGATTTAATGAGTGGCACATATAAAAATATTTTTTTGAGGTTGGTTGTGAAGATTTAATGAGTGACACATATAAAAATATTTTTTTGAGGTTGGTTGTGAAGATTTAATGAGTGGCACATATAAAAATATTTTTTTGAGGTTGGTTGTGAAGATTTAATGAGTGGCACATATAAAAATATTTTTTTGAGGTTGGTTGTGAAGATTTAATGAGTGACACAAAATAAGAGGAAAACTTGTCTTTATGGTTTTTTTTAAGAAAATATTTAGCTGAATCAAAGCATTTATAAGTAACAAATTTAAAGGAGTAGTTATGAATGCAAATTAAAATTTTTAGTATTTTTGGACCCCTAAGACTAACCATAGAAGTAAATTTCTGTTCAATATTATTAAAATACTATAAACAAAATGCGTTTACGGTGTAAATTAATAAATATATAAATATTTGTATAAGAATTAATAATAAATTGAAAATAAGATTTATAATAAAAACATATATTCACTTAAAATAAAACAATTTCAAAACTACTCACCTTATATTTATAGCAGCATGCAAGAATATTGTCATTAATTGCCATATTTTTTCTCTATAAATATAAAACAAAAATTTTTATGATCTTTTATAATCAAACAAAATTTTATTTTTATCCCTTCTCTTTCAGAGAAAGTCCAATCGTACAGTTTTAATAGCTTAATTTTATATTATTGTGTCATTTTGTTTCCAAATTGCATTAATACTAATAAAAAACAATTATATTTATTTCAGAAAATGATTCAACTTGGTAACTTCTTGCAATTTGTTGATTGCTATTACACTATAAATTAGCTCCATACTTCTTTTGGTTAGCAACTATGATAGAGTTTTGAAAAACTATAAGATAATAAATCTCATCTAATTTAAAGAAATGATTTTATCCAGCTTTTAATTTGTTTTGTGAAATACTTAAAATCCTGGGTTCTAGAAACTGCAGTCATTCATTTGACAGAAGATTATACGACAAAGTTATAACAAAGATGTAATATGTTTTTATTTTGGTTTCTATTTTTGTTTTAGTTGTTTTATTTTTTTATTCTAGTTTAGCTTGCCTTTCAAAATACATACCCAGTCAAAACTTAAAATTAAAAAAAATATTTAAACAAAAAATCTTTGCATAACAAGGTTCATGATTGCTTTATGACAGCAGCAAATCAATTTATTGATTCAAATAAAAAATTTATAATTTTATAAAAAACCATTATTATAAAATAGATTTAGTTAAATATATAAACCTTATATTATATATAAAACCTATATTTAATATAAAACCTTTTACTATATATAAAACCTATATTTAATATGAAACCTCATTTTTTATATAAGGTTTTATATTAAATATAGAGCACGGCATTAACTCTATTAAAATTAAATTTTAAAAGTATTAAAAGTCTACAATGCCTTAATATGTTTACTAATTGATCCGTATAGGTTTACTAAAATAAATGGATTTATTATATCATCATCAACTAGATCCTGTATTTTTATCTAACAATATTAAAATTAAGGAGATAATTAGAATAATAAAAAAATAAAAAGATTAAAAAGTTATGATATGCCCAGTGGTTTTAAAACATAAAGTAACTAAAAAAAATCATAAAGAATGTAGCTAATTTAGTTATAAATTTTCAAAAAACAATGGGTCTACATCACCTAATTTGCTGAAACTATAATGTTGCAAAGCTAAAATTTCATACCAAAGGATTTATAGTTAAGGAATTTAAAATCCGTTGAATATGAAAATTACAGTCTTGTTTCTCTCAAAACAATATTTTAAGATCCACAAATTGTATAATAAATAAGCATTGACAACTTTAGCTCTAGAAAAAATCTGACTGATAGAAAAAACTTTTAGTTTTTTCTATCAGTCAGATTTACGAATTTTCAAAATATTCTAATTTATGAATTAATTACGTTAAACTAAATTAATTATATTAAAATTATGAAATATTCTACTTGTCGTTTTTCTAAAGAAATTTTGATATTAACTAAAATACCATTATAATTGAACTAAATACCATTATAATTTTTTTTAAATTAGAGTCAGTTGATTAAAAAAAAGCAGGATGTGTGTGATTTGATTTAAAATTTTACAAAATATTGTTCAGTATTTTGTAAATTTATAAATTTGTTACTTGTTATTTTCATTACATAATAGTTATGTCATTTCCATTGTTATTATCATTAAATCATAGTTATGTCATTCAAAATGACATTTAAACAATATTATGTAAACTCTTTTTTATTGATTGTTTTATTGTAATAAAAAAGCAACTATCTCAACAATAAAATAAGTAATAAAATGACGAATGTACATAATAATGTCTAGTAAATATTACCTTGTTAAGTTATACAACTAAATATAATTATATTTAGTTATGATCTAGTTTCGCACAAATTTTTGGGAGATAATTAGTAGAGAACTGACAAAAACTTGTAGATAATTAGGCATTTAAAATGTCAATTAAACTTTCATTTTATTTTGGACATATTGTTTGTGTTCAAGTATACTTTACTTATTAGAGACATTGTATTTAAGATTTCTTGTATTATAGAGATATTAGAAAATATAATACAAATAAATTACCATATCATATTTATAAATATAAATATGTTATGCCGATTGTGAGATATGAGAAAATATAAAACATCACACTATTATAATATGTTAAATGTGAGATATGAGAGTAGCTTCCTTCGAGGAGGCTACTCTCATGTTTAGTTTATGGCCTCAGGGAAGTGAATTAACATTTAAAAAAATAAACAAACAGAAAAGTTGTTGTAACCCATTTCTGACTCACCAAAAAGTGTGCAAAGTTAAAAAAGTTTTTTTGGTAATAGGATTTGCTCATTGTTTTATATTAATAATTTAATTAATTTTATAGTAATAAAGTATTATAATGAATTTTTTTTTTTCAGCATCTCTACGTGTGATTACAATGCATACTGTGTTAGAAGTAGAAATAGGTTTCTGGTTTAAATCTTATACCTGAAAAAAAGTTGTGTCCAAACTGTTGAAGAAAAGTTTAAAACTTTTTTAAATACTCTTGATGTGACATACAAAAAACTGTTACGTTATATTGTATGTGACATGACTAATAAAGACTAGGGCTTGGCAACTGGTGAAAATCACAACCGATTAACTGGTTTTTGTAAAGATTTCTCGAAACCGAACCCCTTTATTTTTTTATTTTAAAAAAAAACGGTTGTTATTTATACATTACTAAATAGATAAATAGTTTGAAGATTTCTTGTTTTGACAAGCTAAGAGGTAATGTGGAAAGCGCAAATATCGTGAAAATATATATAGTTTTCAGGTCTTGTTTTAAATAAAAAATGCTTAATGCATTAGTCTAATGTGAACTTGACATAATAAAATTCTCTTTATCTTTTTATTTTTCAAAGACATTAACTTTTTTAAATTACTGCAATGATATTAATTACAGCAAAACAAGTTAAATATTGTTCAACTTGTTTTTTATTAATACTATTACAAAATGTTTGTTTCTTTCATTTTTTTTTTTATATAAATAATTAAATTTAATAGTACATTTTAAAAAAAATTTACATATAAACAAATTGTTTTTCTCGACATTTACATAAATAAATTAAAATAAGTTAAAATTTTTTAAATGATTATTTTTTAAATAATCATTTTAAAAAATTTGCAACCAAAAAAGATTTCTATTTTAAAAAAATTAGCAACAAATAAAAAAATTAATTTAATTTATCTACTTTATTTATTAAAAGTTTATTATTTTATTAGCAATTTGTTTCGAAAGCAAAGATTATTTTTCCGAAATTTCCAATTTGTTAAAATTATATTGTTGTATATATCATTTATTAAAAAATTATTTTTGCACTCTACTTGCATTATAAAAATAAGTTTAACTTACTTTTTGTATAAATTCTTGATACAGCCTTGGTACAAGTTTATTTAATATTTAATTTTGAGTAAAAAAAAATGCTTAGGAAAAGAAGACCGAAAAAACAAATGCGATAAAAATGAATTAACTTTTTTTAAGAATAAATAAAATTTAAATATTGAACAATATTTAGTAACATTTTTTAATAAATTTGACATTTAAGTTGAACCCAAGCATTAACTTTAATTTTAATAAATTTAAATATTTTTTAATTCAGAATTAATATATATGTATATTTTTTAAATCGAAATTAAATCATATATTTTTTTATCAGAATTAAATTACATTATAATGATCTTTGCTTCAAGCTTACGGTATTAGCGTTTTTCAAGCGAAAATATTGATCACTACAATAAAAAAATAAAAATAATTATAAATGATTTATAACTATATAAAAATTAAAGTAAATCTTTTTAATGCAATCAAAAGTTGCATATTGCTATCAAGATGATAAATAAAAGTTTTTATTACTTATATTTCTTTTATGGGTTTTTTTTTTTTTTACATTCTAATTAATAACTTGGCAAAAAAATAAATTATTGTTAACTATAAACAATTTTGTTTTCTGTTCGTTAAAATAATTTGCTTAATTGAGATTAAGTTTTCTTAACTGAGATTAAGTTTACGTAGTTTTTAATTAGTAAATAGCACTTACATCTAACATAATTGTCATTCAAACTTTTTTACATATTTGTCATTCAAAAGTTAATTGTAATTCAAAATTTTTTATAAAGTTAAATACTTTTATCGCTTATAGAATAATTTAAAGTTAAAAAATGATGAAAGTTTAATGATGAAAGCTTAATGGAAATTGCTCTAGGCATACATCATGGGTACGCTTTAAAACAAGCCCTGAGTTTTAAAAAGCACTTTGATATTGCATTTAGTTTTATTTATTTCAATTTTTTTTTTTTCTTTTACCAATTATTATATATAAATATATAAATAGTGAGAAATACTCTTTTACTGAGAGAATCTTTTAACAATATTTAAATCTTAATACTTATAAGGTAAAATAAGGTAAAAGTCCAGAAAAGACAGTAACACTAACTTAAAATATTTTGTCAATTTTTTGATATTTTCATTTGTTGTTTCATTGTGTTTGTTTTTTATTTTTTGTTACTGTTGTTTAATTATTTTAACTTGAGGTTGACTTAAAAATCTCAAAATCAAGCATCTTATCTTTGAAATAACATAATATTTACCAAATTTTGATCCTTTATTTACTCTTCCAATTTTTAAAATTAAATTTAAAAAATTTTCTCTATGGAAAACATTCTAAAATTTTACTAAAAAATGTATGTAAAATGTATTTGTTAAATCTTTAGCATATTATATATATCAACATGTCAGTATGATGTATCTTTGCATAATGTTAAATTTTTAATATATCTATATATTATAAACAAATATGTATACTTTTTAATATATCTATATATTATAAACAAATATGTATACTTTTTAAGGTTCTGATAATAAGATCTTTATGATCTTCTTAAAGAAACCATGTTTTATATTGCTAGTATGATTATGTTTTTAACAAAGTATGGTTTATATTTTTTACAAGTCTTTTATGTTAAAAGTCTTTATGACTTATTTGGAGAATTTGAAGATGACAATGAAGTAG